AACAACTAGGAACGTTTCCGTATCCTCTGTCGGCACCAGACCTTCGATAGGCGCCACGAGGGCGGTGGGCGGTAGGTCATCCATATCCGCGAGGTCGTCTACGAACCGCCTCGCCGACCCTAGAGAATCGACCGGCTCAGTGTCTTCGATAGGAAAGTCTGGTGCCAAGAGAGGTAGTGCGTCGCCTCGCAGTAGTGATGAAGACCTGTCGACCTCCCCGATGCCCACTAGTCCTGTTCATCAGAAGACGGCCGCTCTGGAAAAGCTCACCGCCCCCGGTGCTGGAAACAATGGCGGCGGAACTTCACCCGGCGCAACTTCGCCGAACCTGAAAGCGAGCACGATAACACCGAGGTCCTCGATTACGAATACTGCGACTATGAACAAGGAGATTGAAGACCTCAAGGCCAAGCTGAAGGTGTTGGAGAAGAAGCGCATGGAGGATCGCGAGAAGCTTAACGGTCTGGAGAAGGTCAAGGCGGAGCGCGACAAGTTCGAGAGAATTATTCAAACACTGCAAATCAAGTATCAGCCACAACAGCAGGAAATTCAGGACCTGAAGCGGCAATTGAAGGAAGCGGAGACCAGACTCTACAATGTCGAAGAGATGCAGGCGGAGCATGACACAGCCATGGAGCTTGCCACACTCGACCGCGAAATGGCCGAGGAAACAGCAGAGGTGCTCAAGGTGGAACTAGATGCTCTTAGGCAGAAGACCGAAGAGCTCGAGCTCGAAGTCGAAGTCCTCCGCGAAGAGAACTCGGAGTTCACTAATGGTATGTCCCCTGATGAACGGGCAAGCACCGGCTGGCTCCAGATGGAAAGGAATAATGAACGGTTGCGCGAGGCCCTGATTCGTCTACGCGACATCACGCAGCAACAGGAGGAGGAGCTGAGAGATCAGATTAAAAGCATGGAGGAGGATCTACGGGAGTTCGAGACCATCAAGGAGCAACACACGACTGCCAAGGAGAAGTTGGGTCAGACGGAAGCGATCGTCGAGGACCTCAGAGAGCAGCTTAATAACGCTCTTGGGGCCGAGGAGATCATCGAGTCGCTTACTGAGCAGACCATGAACCAGTCCGAGGAGATCAAGGAGCTCCGGGCTGTTATTGATGACCTTGAAAGTCTCAAGGAGATCAACGACGAGCTGGAGATCAACCATGTCCAGAACGAAAAGGAGATGCAGGAGGAGATCGACTTGAAGGACGCCGTCATCGCCGAGCAGTTCCGCCAGGCCAATCTGCAGAGGGAAAGCTTGGAGGACATGGAGTACACCCTTTCCAGGTTCAGAGAGTTGGTTACGAGCTTGCAGAGCGATCTGGAGGACATGCGTGCTTCGCATGCTGTCACTGAGAACGAGTCTGAGCAGCTCAACAGCCGCTCGCGTGCCATGCTGGATCTCAACATGAAGCTACAGATCTCGGCCTCCAAGGCTCAAGTCAAGACCATTGATCTCGAGTTGCGGCGCATGGAGGCCCAGGAGGCCGAGCAACATCTTGAGATTGTGAAACTGTTCTTGCCTGACACTTATCAGTCTGATCGCGACTCTGTGTTGGCTTTACTTAGGTTCAAGCGTCTGGCGTTCAAGGCCAACCTGTTGAATGGATTCATCAAGGAGCGTGTCAATGGCCAGCCGCATCCCGGCCACGAGGACGACATCTTTGACGGGTGCGACACTATTGACAAGCTCACCTGGGTGTCAGCCATGTGCGACCGGTTCGTCAATGCCATCAGCCATTGCTCCCTGGAGCAGTTTTCTAGGTATGAGGGCGCCTTGTACGAGCTGGAGCCTGTCGAGCGTGCTCTCAACGGCTGGATTGACGGCTTGAGGCGTGATGATCTCAAGGAGAAGCAGTGTGCAGACGAACTCAAGCGCACAATTGCTCTCATGACCCATCTCAGCGAGGTCCACATCTCTAACGACCTTGAGAGCTTCGCCGATGATGTCCACATGAGGGCTTTGCTCATGCAGAGCCATCTTGAGTCCGCTGCAAACTGCTTCAACTCGCTCAAGGGCATGGTCCAGCGTGTCATCCCTCCCAGCGGTGAAGATGATGAGCTCGCTCAGTACTTCTCCAAGCGTGCCGAAGCTGTTGTCTCCCAGACACGCAGCGCAAAGGTCATTGCCGGCAAGACCGTTCGCGCGCTCGAGGACCTCAAGACGCGTTCCCTCTCTCTCACCCCGGATACCCTCGAAGCCTTTGAGCAATCCGAAGCTGCCACGCGCGACCTCGCCAATATGGCTCGCCAGATCGGCCTCGACCTACACGCCTTCCTTCACGAAGAAGGCCGCACTGAGCCCTACAACTACATGGAAGTACAATCCTGCATCCAGCGCTCGGCGCAATCCTCTTCCCCTACGGCCTCCTCTCCCGAATCCGACCTCTTCAACACCTATCTCTCCCACCTGCGCAATGCCACCTCCACCATCTCTGACCTCGCCGCTGTGGCCTCCGACCTTGCCCAAACGCAAGAGTTTGACCGCACCCCGGCTCCTTGGCTTCTGCGCTCCGCTGAACTCAAGGCCGCCAAGACGGTCGCCCCCGACATCGACGACGAACTCCGTCGCCTGCGGGACGACATCGCCGAGGCGCGCCGCTCCATCGCCGTGCGCGAGGAGATGCTTTCCACAGCGCAAGTCAAGATCGAGACGCTCGAGTCCCGCATGCGCGACGCCAACGCCAAGGCCGCGCGCATCGTCGACCTGGAAGCCGACCTGCAAGCCGCCAAGAAGGAGGCCCAGCAGCTGCAAGAAGACATGGAGAAGCAAGACCGCGAGCTCAAAGCCTTGGAGTCCGACAGAGACAAGTGGAAGAAGATTGCTTCCGAGTCGCGCGTCGTCGTGGCCGATGGCTCCGGCGTCGGTGTGGACAACAAGGTCAGTGCGGAGCGCGCCGTCGCCACCGCGCGCGAGATGGACGCTCTTAAGAAAGAGATCGAAGCTCTTCAGGCTGCTGTGCGTTACCTTCGTGAAGACTCACGCAGAGCGAGACTCAAGGAGCAGGGCGACTACGAATGGCTTGCTGAGCCGCTGGTCAAGAGGAAGCCTCTTATGCAAGAGCAGCGGAAGCAGCTTGTCAAGAAGGAGGGCAAAGCTGTGCTTGGCGAGTTGGTCAAGCTTGTTAGTAGCGCCAAGGTGTTTGATCTCGGTAGTTTGCCGGAGAAGGCAGAGGATAGGCTTAAGTGGAGGCCGGCGAAGACGACGCCGGGGTGGTGGGTGGCGAAGCAGATGGAGGATTGGGAGGCGTTGAAGGAGTGGGAAGGAAGTGTGCGGGGACGGGTTAGGGAGTTGGGTGGTGGTGCACCGGGAAGTGGGAAAACTGATAGGGAAGAGGAGGCCAGGAGGATGGTGAGGAGGACGGCGGCTGCGAAGTTGCAGATTAGACTGCCGGGCATAGAGGGCAAGGGAGGTGGTGGTGGGAGGCGGGTGCAGATTGTGGGGAGTAGAGAGTGGGAGAGTTTGCAGGGGAGGTTGGCTGCTGTTGTTTGATGATGAGAAGTGAGCAAGCGAGCGTGCTGTGATGTCGATGATGAAATATGCTTAGTACTACATTGTTTATGAACGAAGTTAACGAACGTTGTCATGAGGGTCAAGTTATCAGTATCAGGAAGAAAGAGAAAGGGAAAGTTCGCGTGAGACTGCTGGAGATAGGCAATGGGTGTATCAAAGGATCTGAACTAAATAAAACATTTCGCTGATGACATGGTCGCGCCTTTGCACATGCATTCATTGCTGTCAACTATTCATGCCGAATTGTTGATCTTCAAAACACAGAAAAGGGGCAGGTGAGGCTCTCACCTTGAATGTCAGCAGAAGTTGAAGCTCACCGTGGCTCACCGAGAGGCGAGCTCTGGTGCACGGACCATCAAGCTTTCAATGCTAGCGCGGTTGACCATTGGCGGCGCGTCTTTGGCGAACCTGCCCGCTGTGGAATTTTGAAGCTTCTGGAGCTTCTCAAACCTCCCACCTGTTGTTAGCAAAGGTTGCCAAAAACACACCTAAACACTAACACTTTCAGCACTTCGTTTCGATAACATTCGTGCCGTCACTTTCTCCAAACCAAAACTTCCCAATCTCGACCACCAGCCCAGATTCTTTTGCTCGACAACACCGAATTACCACCGTCACCGATTACTACGCGACAGCTTCGATTACCACTCTCTTCGAACCGAACTACTACAAGACAACCACCCACCCAAAAGAACCCCGAACGAAGAGCAGCAGACATGGTGCAAATCAGCGAGGTCAAGGGCAACAGCCGCGACAACCGCACGGCCGCCCACACCCACATCAAGGGCCTCGGCCTCAACTCGCAGGGAATCGCAGAGAAGCAAGCCTCGGGCTTTGTCGGCCAGACCACGGCGCGTGAAGCATGCGGTGTAGTCGTCGACCTGATCAAGGCACACAAGATGGCCGGCAGGGGAGTCCTGCTAGCAGGCGGCCCGGGAACAGGCAAGACAGCTCTCGCGCTGGCCATCAGCCAGGAACTCGGTACCAAGATCCCCTTCTGCCCCATTACGGGCAGCGAAATCTACTCGACGGAAGTCAAGAAGACGGAGGTGCTGATGGAGAACTTCCGGCGCGCCATCGGCCTGAAGGTCCGCGAGACCAAGGAGGTGTACGAGGGCGAGGTGACGGAGCTGACGCCCGAGGAGGCCGAGAACCCGCTCGGCGGTTACGGCAAGACCATCACCACGCTCCTGATAGGGCTCAAGAGCGCCAAGGGTCAGAAGAAGCTGCGTCTTGATCCCTCCATCTACGAGGCCATCCAGAAGGAGAGAGTCACGGTCGGCGACGTCATCTACATCGAGGCCAACACGGGCGCCTGCAAGCGCGTCGGCCGCTCCGACGCCTACGCTACCGAGTTCGATCTCGAGGCCGAGGAGTACGTGCCTATTCCCAAGGGCGAGGTCCACAAAAGAAGGAGATCGTGCAGGATGTGTCGCTGCATGACCTCGATGTCGCCAATGCGAGACCCCAGGGTGGCCAGGATATCATGTCCATGATGGGACAGCTTATGAAGCCCAAGATGACTGAGATCACGGACAAGCTCCGCTCGGAGATCAACAAGGTGGTCAGCAAGTACATTGACCAGGGTGTTGCTGAGCTGGTTCCTGGTGTGCTGTTTATTGACGAGGTATGTTTGCTCCCCGAGGCGGTGGAGGTGGAGGCTGAAACAATCACTTTCGGTTCGGTGGGCTAACAAAGAACTGCTTGCTACTATTTGACAGGCCCAAATGCTAGACGTCGAATGCTTCACCTACCTGAACAAAGCACTGGAGTCGCCCATCTCGCCCATTGTTGTTTTGGCCTCGAACCGGGGCATGACAGGCATCCGCGGCGCAGAGGATCTGGTTGCCGCCCACGGTATCCCGCCCGATTTCTTGAGCAGGCTGCTCATCATCCCCACCACCGCGTACGACCCGGAGGAGATCAAGAGGATCGTCAAGATCCGGTCGACGACCGAGGGCGTCAAGATCACCGAGGCTGCTATTGACAAGATTGCCGAGCACGGTGTGAGGATTAGTCTGAGATACTGCCTCCAGTTGTTGACTCCTGCAAGGTACGTTTTCTGGGTTTGTTTGTCTGGGGTGAAACACAACATATAACTGACCATGATTGATAAATAGCATTCTGGCAAAGGTCAATGGTCGCAACGAGATCGACGTCCAGGATGTCGCCGAGTGCGAGGACTTGTTCCTTGACGCCCGTCGCAGCGCTGCCCTACTAAGCAGTGAGAAGGGCCAGCACTTTATTTGTTAAGTATCTTCTCCTCAAACAACTGTTTTTCTACGGTCCGTATGAAGGTTACTCGTCATATCTCAACTGATTAGTAAACATACAGGGAGCCAGGGGTGATTGTTCTAAACAGGTCGGCTGGGTTCATAAAAGAGATTTCTGCGTTTACAGGACTATTGGAGTTGGCGCGTTTTTGTATCTGTTTTTTCCTTCATGTTTCATGATAAAAGTCCTAATGTCATCAAGGAAGATCGGGGCGAATGGGGCCTTTTCGTTTGCGGGTTTCATTTCTAACGGGCATCTCCGTCACATACCCAGACTTTGCAAATACTGGTCAGGAAGTGGAGGGTGGGAAGATAGGAAATCATCCAAACCAAACCCTCCTTCATCTCTTCTGTTTCCTCTTCACTCATTCTCGTCCTCAATTTCCATCATCTGCATCTATACGGTTCAGCTCGGCAGTATTTATGGATGAATGGTTATGGGAAATGTCGCTTGCGCCCACAGTCCACAATCGACAAGGGAGGAAGAAGAACAAGAAGAATGAGGCACAGTACACCACACCTCCCAACAACAATGCAATTTGAACGAGGCAAGCAAGGGAATGCGCGAAGTGGGAATGCTAGACCAAATTCGGCGGACATGGTCTTTGTCTTTGTCGCTCAGCTTGCTTTCGACATTCCAGTCGCCGAGCGCGGCTGGCCCGCATTCCCTTGATGAATGGGTTTGATGGCTTGGTCCCAGGCAACGCAACGGCCGAGCGACCGACCAGAACAGCTGGCATTGTTTAGGGAAAGCATTTCATAAGCGTACGCCTGAGAATGGCGGATGTTTGGGCTGCCCTGGATTTCGCTGGATATGACTGGCCTATTGTACGAATTTCTAGGTCTACCGCTCAATTGTCTGCCTCTGTCTGTCGTCTGCTGCGAAATAGGCACTGGGTCTGGTGTATGTGTGCCTCTTTTCCCTGCCCATACTCTTCGACAAGTTGCACTTCCACTTCCACTTGTTATTTTTCACTCCTGTCATTTGTCCTAAACCACTCAATTATCCAAGGGGGCCCTGAGAACCAGAACTGTCCGCGAACGGAATCCCTTTTCTGCAGTGCAGCGCGGTGTGTGGTGTGGTTGCAAACGCTGGACAAAGAATCTCATATGTCACCCTCTTGGTCGCTCGGTACATTCCCGAGACATTTCGCATTTGCCCACACACTTCAACCAACAACCAGAAATTTGCCATTTACGGTGTCCCTGGTTGTTTCGCCCATCCCGTTTAGTTTCCATCACAATTGCTTGAGATTTCAATCCCCTTCGCCTATCTCCGCACTCCGACTTTCCGCCTTTGTGCCATCCCCTCCGAACTCGCCTCCGGTACCGATGGGCCCCTCCCATCTCCCACTTCCACTCCCAGACACACTCACTCCCAAATGTTGACCGTCTGGTATTCAACATACCTTGATACAATGTGATTTTCCAGTTTTGTATACTTCTGTTGATGAGCAGGAGGGGTGTGGCCATGGACCTATCTGCATAGCAAGGGATCATTGTTTTCAAGCCGGAACCCGGCGATACGGCGATGGCGGAGGGAGGGGGGGTCGTGGTTTGTTGGCCATACTATATCGCAACAAAGGAAGTGTTGACGGACTGGAACAATCCAAACAAGTGGAAGACAAGACAAGGCCATGATTCATCTATGCTCTCCCCCCTGCTCTACCCTTCTTCCCTTCTTCTCTTTCCCCCATCCGTGCCCCCCGTCTTGTTCCGGATTCGCAAATTCAATACGGACCAACAATAAGGATGAGAGCAACAAGTGCGATTCTTCACACATACCACACACATACCACAGGACCACGTTCTTGGTCCCTTGTCTCTCCCTTCCCCTTCCCCATTGTTATCCTGTCTTCCCCCCTTTCCCCTCTCTCGTCGTTGTTGCATTCACACTTTGCCATTATTCTTTCCATCCAGTTGTTCTCGTTCTGTGAAGCTTCCTTCGTTTTGTCCTACACCTTTACTCATTCGCCATTATTCCTCTCCCGTCCGTCGTCTCGGGAAGACATCCTGAGGACCAACGTCCAGAGCGGGACAGAGACTGGGTTCCTCCCTGTTGTCTTGTGAGAGGAAAGAGAGCTTCATCCAACAGGTTCAGCGGATTCGGATGCGTTCTGCTGGTCCGTTCCCGGTTTGAACGGCATCCAGCCATCCATCATCGTGGCCCACACTTCAACATATGCTACCTATTCAACCTGCCAGTTGTCGTCGATACGGGCACCATACTTACTCACTTTCTGTTCTCCTCCTCCGGCCGGTTCGTCGTTTGTGAGCAACGAACGGGTTGGATTGTACAGCACAGACTTGCAGGACACAGGACACAGGACTCAACGGGTTGTGTGTGTTCTCTATCTCCATCTCCATCTTGCCTTGTTCGCAACACCCGTCTCCTCGCCCGCCTACCGCCTACCGTCTACCGCCTACCGACAGGCCGTCTCTGTTGGTTCCTGACGTCGTTCGAGCCGTCGGTTCGTTGGAGGAAGTCGTTCTTGTTGGGGAGGACTCCACACTTGGGACGGATACTCGCCCTCTTTTGTGTTTTTACTCACATTTTGAGAACAGAGAAGTGACAACCATACAACCAGCCCAGAGAAACAAGTGGCTAAGTGAGACGGAAGAAAAACAAGAGACGGATATTAGAAGGGGGATTGTGACTAGACCAAGTGACCGAAACATTTTTTGTCCAGAAAAAGGAGGCCAACAGCAGACAAAAAGAAAGGAAACGAAACGAAACGAAACGAGTGATAACTGGACTGGACTGGACTCACTCCCCCCGCAACACCGGGCAGGCAGCTAGCTGGAAGAGTAAAGAAAAATGACAGACGTCGTCGGTCTTGGACTCGTCACTTCTTCTACTACTACTCGCAATCATACGTCTTACACGTCCCAGACATATCAAGCCCAGAACCAGACCCAAACCCCGAGCAAGTGGCAGCAAAAGGCCCAGAACCAACACTTGTTTAGAAGCAGAAACATTCGTCGGTCTTCATCATCACTTTTGTCTACTTCCTCAACCTCTCCTTCGACAACTAAGACCGCGACGCCTAATACCACTACCGCAGCTACCACAAAAAGACGAATCACTCGTGCTGCAGCTGCCACTGCTAAGGCAGCTGAGGAGAGAGAGAAGAACAAAGAAAAGGGGAGCAACAAGGCAGGCAAGATGTCGACAATAACCACCACCGGCACCGGCTTCGCTGCTGCGAGTTCGTCTACCTCTTCAAGTAGTCGGCACTCTTCGAACTCCACTACTCCCACCTCCCCGCTGCAGCATCACCAACCTCATTCCAATTCACATTACTCACACCAACACACTCCACATCAGCAGCAACAGCAACATCAGCAACAACAGGGCCAGCAACAGCAACACCAGTACAGCATCCGTTCCCATCCAACATCCCATCCATCCCACCCATCCCATCCCGCATCCCATCAGAGCTCCCATCAGGCTTCATACACCGACTCCTTGCTAGCAGTCCAACACCCTTCTTCATCCTCTTCTTCTTCCGCCGATGCCTCCGGATCTCACCAACAACCCCAACTACAACAACCACAAGACAGCACAAGGTTAAGAGGCCCTTTAACTCGCAAACGAGCAGCGAGTCTTGTATCAGGGAAACTGGGCGATAGGACAAAGCGGTTGAGTATAGATCTCAACGCAGCCCGCTCTGGTACTAGTACTCGCTCGCATACTGCTTCCCACACCACCTCCGGACTAGCACGGGAAACCGACAGTGCCGCTGTTGCGAAAGAAACCCGTGGAAGTGGCAGTGGCATTGATGGTCCTAGCCTCAAAGATTCCAGGGTAGGGGCAGACCTGGATACCCACTTCGTGTCTTCCTTGGTGTCGGGTGGAGGAGGAAGTGTGGGCAGTATTGGAGGTGGAAGTGTTGTGGCTGGTAGTGCTGGTGGTGGGCAGCATACTGGAGGGCATTCTGGAGGAGGGCCGCCGCAGAGGGATCTAATCTGTTTGTGTACGCCTGCGCCGAAGGTTCCTAGGCCCAGGAATGGTGAGTCCTATTCCTCTTCATCTCTTCTCTTGTACTTTCTTCCTTGCTCCCTTTCGTTCCGCACCAGGGTGATGGTGATGGTTTCTTGGGAATTTGTGAATGGATTTGCTTTGATTTTGTGGTTTTTTTTAGAAGTGAAGTGGAAAGTGGAAAGTGGGAAGTGGGAAGTGGATTCTGGTTGGAGTTCGTTGGTTCCCTCTTGCCCTTCATTGTTTGGGCTTTTCTCTTCTTCTTCTACCTGTGATGCCGTTAGTACACTTGTTGGTTCATCTCCCCCCTGTTTACTATTCTTTCTGCGAAGGTTATCAAAGAGACGGCCGCATCTCAAGTCGGACGGAACTGTACAAATGTCCCCTCACCTCTTCTGTCTCCCCTTATCCTTCCTTACTCCATCTCCCCTTCCCTCGTTTTTCCTTCCTAACTCTTTCTCTCCATCACCACCTCTCTACCAACTTTACTAACGCACCCCCCCCCCTTTCATAGCATTCATCCTCTACAGACAACACCACCAAGCCCGCGTCGTGTCCGAAAACCCCGGTCTCACCAACCCTGAAATTTCCAAGATCATCGGTGAGAAGTGGCGCGCCGAATCGGACCTACACAAGGAAGAGTGGAAGCAGCTTGCCGAAGAAGAAAAGCTGCATCATCAGCGGAAATATCCAGAGTACAAGTACCAGCCTAGACGGGGGAACAAACATAGTGCCGCCTCTAGTGTTGTTGGTGTAGGGGGGTTGGGGAGTAATAGGACTAGTCCTACTACGCCTGGTGGTCCTGGGAGTATTGGAGCAGGTGGACTAGGGGGGATAGGGGGAAGTAGTGCGGGAGGGATAGGGACAGAACATCCGGGTAGGTGCCCGAATTGTGGCGGGAGGTATATCGCTACGCCTAGGACGCCTTCGACGCCTTTTGCTGCGGCTGCGAGTGCGAGTGCGAAAGGTTCGATGCACGGTGGTGAGGGAAGGAGTGCTGGTGGTGGTGGGGAGTCGGCATTCAGCGCGGGGATGGATACCCCAAGGACGATGGAACACCATGCTTCAGCGTCGTCTCGCAGCCAGCAACATTATGGCCAGCAACACGGCGGGTACAAAGATCACCGAGCGTCTGTTTCTTCTCAGGGTGGTTACCAAGCGTATCCCAACAGAGATTACCATCACAGCCAGACGTACCATTACCCGACACCTTCGCATCATCAGCAATACCCATCTCATCCGCTGTATGATATGCCGCAGGAGTACGACGTTCCTACACCCACTGGCACCAGCTCAAAGCGAAGACGGTACGATTCGACCTCGATGCCGTATCGTCCTGAGCGTGAATATGCTCTTCAGTCGCCTAATACTCCTTACGGGGGCAGTCAGAGACATCCGAGTGTAGGTGGTCAGTATGCCGTCCGCCCACCCTCTCATTATCATCAAACAAAACCCAATGCCTCCGACGCCACTAGGTCATGGGCACAGTCACGGCCATGGACAAGTCTCGTTGCATCATTACCCGCCTCCACCGCCTCCTACTTCCTTGGGAGCAATTGGCGGCGGCGGCTCAGGAAGTGTCCCACCCACGCCGGGCTTCGCTCCCGCTCCAGCCGGACCACCGACTTCCACTGCTGCACTTTCCGGTCCTGCCTCACTAGCACTTTCGGGATGCGGTAGGGGTCCTCTCTCAAATACCATGGCTCCACCTCCTCGGCCTCCTACACTTTCTGTGCCTGGCTCTTCGAGCGGTAGCTACCACCATGGTCAACAACATCCAGCGTCGTCTGGTTCTTGCTCCGGCCTCAGCCCGGTACGGATGAGAGGTGATGATTCTGTTTTCGACCCATCTCTTCGCTTGCCTCCGTTACAGACGCACTTGGCTCATTTATCACCCCATTCTCCTGAATCTGGGTCTTCGTCTTCCGGGGCTGGTGCTGGTGCTGGTCTGATTTCGGCAGGTGGAGGTGGCATAGGACTGGGGATAACTTACCCCGGTGGTGATCATCGTGATCCTAGATCTGCTTCTTCGGGCGGCTCGCATCCTTATCCAAGGCTGACAGGATCAGGAACAGCGGGAAACACGCCCACTGCTGCTTCTTTCCCTGCAAGTTATCACCAAGGAGCCCACCCTCACCCTCATCACACGCAACAAGCACCCACCTCCACTCATCCCTCGTGGGCGACACTGTATCCTGGACAAAGAGAACAGCAACAGGCTCCGCGGAGTGACCCATCTCAGGCCATCATGTCAAGGGACAATAGGGAACGTGGCAGTACCACAACCCTCCCACACCACCCACCCCAAACCTCCGACTCCAACACCAAAAGGCAACTCGCCCTCATAGAAGCCCAACAGCGCCAGCAATCAGTAGAAGCGATGGTTATGAGCATCTACTACGTTCGCAAGGCGTCTGTGCTTCGACGGATTGGGCGGGAACTGCCTGCTTACGGTGCCGTAGCTGACAATGTGGACAACTTGTCTGAGACCGGGGATGATTCAGCACAGGAGCAGGCGCAGATAATGACGACGAGAGGACCGATTATTGCCGTTGAAGGACCGAATAAGGAGTTGTTGCGGGCTGTTAGCAAAGCGGTGCAGAAGGCGTTGTTGCAGTTGGGAGATTGTGAGGTCCGAGCGTGGGTTGGAGAGGGGGATGTTTGGGATCGGGAGGGTGAGAAAGAGGATAGCGAGAAAGTCAAAGCAAAGAAGGGTGGTGACGATATGGAAATGGACGATACCGTCATCGTACGCGGTTCGTCGTCGCCTAAATCCAATGATGGAAATGACCGCTCCTCCTCTCCTCTTCCTCTTCCCCTTCCCTCCACAAACAAAAATCCCTTCTCCCGCTACCTCGACCTCATGCTCTCCTGGCACCAGAAAGCCTCGGAGCTGACGAATTTTGTTACTACTCCTTTTTTCTCACCCTCATCTTCCTCTTCCCGCTCTTCAACGCCTCTACCCGCCTCCCAGCAACCCTCCAGACAGTCCTCCAGACACCCCTCTCATTCGCCTTCAATCCCTGGCCAAAAACTCCCCAAACTCCCCATCGCCCTTCTCCCCCTCGGCTACTCTCTCACTTACTCCGACCGCTTCGCCTGCACCATCCCCATTGCCGATGCTTACGCGCCCGTGGATCACTGGCAATGGATGGCGACCCTTTGGCGAGGGATCGTGGGACCGGATCTGACGGTGTATGTGAAGCCGGTAACGGAGGAGGAGATGATGATGGAAGGGTGGCCGCCGGTTGGAGTGGAAGTGAAGGGGGAGAGATTGATTGTTGTTAGGGTTGTTGTTCCGTCTGGACATGGGGGACAGATAACGGCAGTAGAAGAGTTGAGTGGTGAGACGGAGAAACTGTTGGCGTTTGAGGTTGGGGAGTGGGTTAGGGCTGGACCGTTTGGAGTGCGGGGACGAGGAGGGGTGGCGAGAGGGGAGAGGGAGACGACGCAAGTTGGGTATGAGTATGAGAGGAGTCATGGGTATGGTAGTGAAGGATGGTGATGAGCCTCGGAGAGGGAGAAAAATGAAATAGTAAGTGAAGAGGTTTAGGTAGCTAGAGGTTTGGGTGATGAGGCTGCGTAAGTCAGTTGCGATGTTGGATAGAAAGACGGGCCCGGAACACTTCTGGTTAGAAATCACCTTTAAACTGGGAAGTCAAGTGAATAAAATAGAAAAAGGTCAGTCTCCTGGAACTTTCAACTTCTCCGTCACTTTTATTCCACATCTTTTGTCGTCGAGTGTCTTGCGAGTGTCCTGCGTGTGGCAGAGGGCGAATTGCTTTGCAGCCGGCACTGTGCATAGAGCGCTGTTAGTGATGGCAGGCTTCTATGGGCCTAACAAGTTGAGCTCATTTTGTCGGCCAAATGTGTTAGTGATCCCTGCGCCATATAACAGGTCGCACTCCAACAATGTTAGTTCGCCTAGGCCTCTGCCACTAACCTCGCGACCCCTCACTTCCAGCAAACACGACGATGAGATCGAAAGGGTTCGTGACCAACGAGACTGTCGTTGGTTGTTGTGTGTACCTTTGACAATAAAGGAAGGCACCGGCCCAACCCAAACCCCCGCGAACTTATAAACTGACCAGCACCTCCCAATGGAGACATTCGCGCCCATCTCATCAATCATGACGCCCTCACCCTCAACCCTCACTCCGGGCCTCGGCTGGGCAAAAATGGCCCTCTCCCAAGACGCAAGACCCAAAAGAACCTGATTGTCGACACTGACCTGTTCAGCGACGTCGAGTACGTATACCAGTCCCTTTTACCCTTTCCAACTCCGTGCTAACAAATGTTAGTGACGCCGGTGCCCTCCTCTTGGCATCCACCTCCCACCAGATCAATCTCCTCGGCGTCATGGTGAACAAACCCTCCACCTACTCCGTCCTCGCCGCCTCCGCCATCGTGTCTTACTACACCCAGAAATCTCAAAACAAGGCCGTCCCCATCGGCGTGTTCCGCCATCCCACCAGCGACGGCACCGTGATACCCCTTCCGAACTCCACATTTCTCGACGTGGTGTACTGGCACCTAGGAGAGTTTGCTTCCAAAATTGCCTACCAGTTTGGCTCACCTTCTTCGCCCGACTATGTCAAAGGGGACGGACCAAGCATACCGTGGGGCCATGCGGAGGATGCTTGGTCGGCTGTGGAGCTTTATCGAAAGCTGCTCAGTGAAGCGGATGATGAGAGCATAACTATTGCCAGTATCGGATTCTTGGATAATCTGTCACTTCTCCTCGACTCCGAACCTGACCTATTCTCCCCATTGACCGGACGCCAGTTGATCTCGCAGAAGGTGGCCGAGCTGGTTGTCATGGGCGGTCGTTACCCTGCGGGAAAAGGTTGGAACTTCTTTGGTTCCGACCCCGAAATACCTCATCGCAACGGCGGAAACGGGCTAGGACTGGGGTCGAAGGGCACGGCAAATGTAATCAATAACTGGCCTACGCCACAAAGAGATGGGTGGAAAGGGAGGGTGGTGTACGTCGGTGATGAAGTTGGCGGGAACGTCTTGACAGGCGCGGAGTTGGTGAAGGAAGGGCCAAGGGAGACCCGGTTCGTCGAGCTTACAAATATTATGCCCATGGAGAGGCTAGACCAAGTTGGGATCCGGTGGCGGTGTTGTATGCCATTGGAGGATTGGGGGGCCTGTTCAGGTATGATGAAGAGTACGGGTATGGAAGGAACAGGGTGAATGAGAGGGACGGGTCGAATAAGTGGGTTTGGGATGAGGAGACCAAGAATCAGTTTGTGCTGGCGCTGGAGAAGACCGAAGAGACGGTGGCCAGGGAGATTGATCGGTTGTTTTTGAAGGGAGCGAAGAGCGCGGCCGTGGAAAAGGTTGCCCCAATGAGCGGCGAGGAAGCAGGCCCGAAGATTTGAGCCAACTTGAAGCACATGAGACACCCACTTGATCGAAGCCGAGGCTTCTCTGAAGGCAGTTCCTCCTTTCCTCCTATCCCTTCCAGTTGGACATCGCCAAGCTCATCTGCCTTTGCAACCCACAGCTTCTGATTAATCCATGCACTTGCACATTCTCAGGCCAGGAAAGCGCGAGTGGCTGTTTAGTTGCGATCATGCAGTGATAACACCCGACGATCTTCTCGAACTCAGTCATGGGAGGCCCGTCTGACCCAGAGCTCATCACTTCATGACCAAATTTGAGTGCCGATTACGCCTGCCTGAGCTATCGTGGTAAGTCGGGCGTTCCTGCCTTTGATACCTTGCTGTGAGAACTTGCAAGTTCGACCTCGGGATGCCGATCGATCAGCTCCAACTCCGTTCGAACGGAAGGATCTCAGCATGACTCCACCAGGCAGTTGCAGACTCAGAATGGGGCGGCGCACCAAGTGATATTGGTGGACATTGGAGTAAAGTGCATTCCAGCCGTGTTGTGCTCCGTCTGGTTTCTCTTCCCTGCTCCTATGTATTCTCCATCATACCCAAGTATTTCCTGTGACTTGTTCTGCGGTTCAGTCGTCTTTGCCTTCATCCCTCCATCGCCTATTGCCTTCACCTTGATGGTTTCCCCTTTCTTGTATTGTCTTGGACATCTTACGCCCATCATCATCATCATCATCATCCACACGGTAGGTTTCCAACCGTTTCCGGAATTCACCGACTTGGTTCAGGTATGATTTCCCTAACCTTGCAATTCCTAGAAATGACCACCCCAACCGAGTTCCACTCCTTTAACCAGCTCCCCTATCAGCTGAGAGACAAGATCTGGAAGCTCGTCCTCCGGCCGCTTGATCGCGCGGGAGCCCACTTCTTCAACGTCGAGGAACGAGAAAAGCAAGAAGACATAGGCAGCTTCCAACAACACGATATCTCCATCACGTCTCTACGCATGGCGTCCCCATATTGGCTTCACACCTGTGTTGGCGACACGCCCAAGCGGAACCGGTCAATTTACATGGTCGACAGCGGACTCTGGACAGCCTGCAAGGAATCACGCGAGCTCATGAAGAAGACGTTCAGACCGGAGATTTCCAACCACTCCACCACGGGCTTCTGCATTTCGTCCAGTTTGTCAGATCCCTTGTCATCTGGCTCTCCATCCTTTAGTTCGGAAAATGCCATCACCGTTCAGAGGCGTTATTTCACCGTTTGCCAGAATCAGGATCTTTTCATCTATTGGAAACTGAACTGGTCATCGCCTGCTTGGTGGGACAGAGTCCTCAATGACGGGGACCCACGCGATTTCTTGAAAAAGTTGGGCCATTATCAAAAACACTTGGCCATCGAGTAGGATCCGGCCTTGCGAAGTACAGGGCCATACAACATAACATCGGCTCTCGGCAGGGCCACGGTGGATCGGGGCCCCGTCGAAGGCAGAATCTGGTTCATCGAATACAGTCTCAGGCCGAAGCCTAACATGGTGATTGTTCCGCGTCAACATGTGTTTCACGACAATATTGGTGGGCGCTATGTTGAGGTATGCACTTTCCACAACAAGTACGACGAAAACAGACCCGGGAGATCGACAGATATGGTGTTTGATAACATTTCATCGTATACTCTCAACCCTGCCGGTGAATTTCCCCAATTATACACATTTATTTGGAACGATGTAACGACGAGAATATCGCGTGATTAGTTTTCACAGGGGCGGTACATGGGATCGTTGCTTGATGACGACCGCAGGGAGTACGCAATGTTGGGGGTTCTTGCCTATCTGCCACCCGGGTCACAAGATTACAATTACGACCCGATTCGCGACGCGAGAAAACTAAAAATACGCCACTACGGAAAACCTATGATACAACGTGATTGGATCAAGCACTTGCGGACAGATTAACGCATCGTGAATATCGTCAAAGATTGCTGGACAGGAGTACAGCGAGACTCACGAAGAGAACAAGAACAGAGGGGGTGAAAGGAAGAAACAAGCGGAACTGGTAAAACACTGAAAAAATTGGCATTCATCATGTGAGACTAAGCGTCTGTTCAGTTTTTATGTATCACAGTTTATCCAGCAGTCCAATAGGTCAAGTTGCAATATACTACAAGCGCATGCAAACAAATCTTCTCTCTCTCTCTCACAAACACACACACACACACAAACACACAGACACACAAACATATACCATAAAAGGGTGCGTCAATGAGGAGAAACAAGAAAACGCGGCGAAGACCCCCACGGCCCATACAATGAACAATGAACAATGAACACTGACTGCAGCTAAAATCGGGACTGAAACATTATCCGGCCCCCTTCGATCGGTCGGTACCAAAGCGCCAACCCAGTGAGGGAAAGGGAAAATCAAATGTGACGCTTTTAGTATGTGTGTAAGAGTAATGTAAGAATGAGAGTGTTCAACCTTCAACCTTAATTTTAGTAATCAGAAGGGGCTCGCGAGCTTCGCGAGCCTCATGAGAAAAGACGCGGGCAGACAGCTAGTCAGCTGGGTAGCTAGATAGCTATTATGCACTAGAAGTAAGGTATGAACGGCCAAAGGCCATGCATGTATCATACATACTTTTGAGGTAAATGAACGAGCTGAACGGAGTTGCCCTGGCTGACAGTCAAGGTCCAAGTCTACAAGTCTACAAGCCACCAAGAGACGGACGGATAAGAATGGAATGGAAGCGCGAGGGCCAAGGGATGTTAAGGGTAAGGGTAAGGAGGCGGAGACGGAGACGTAGACGGTGACGAGAGAAGGTGAGCTAGGTGAGCTACCTTAGGTGGGCTATGTAGTGATTGACTGTGGTGAGGACGGGAGGAGTCCTACTCTTAAGTATCTCTAGGTAACTGGTACTGAGGTTGTGATGATGGTAGGTAGATGTGATGTGATGTGCACTAGCTTGATTGCACTGGACTGGACTGGACTGGACTGCGTGGTGTTTTAGGAGGGTAAGTGAGTATCAAGAAAAAAGAAAGAAGAGGAAAAAAGGAGGAAAAAATCCCAGGAGGAAATAGCAGGTGGGAAAAGCAGGAGAAAAGAAGCGGGAGAAAGGAGGCGGGAACGGAACAGATGTCATGATGTGTCACGGTGTGAAAGCGCATCTGTATGTGATCTTGAGTCCGAATTCTTAGAGCGACGCCGAGTGTTTTGAGGTGTTCGATGTGTCTACACGTAAGCGCCGTCTCACTATCATGCCATACCACAACACCGGCTGGTCTCTGATGCTACAGGGGAATGATGGAGAGGGATAACGTATACATAGATATTCACATAATTGTGTTTTGGGGCTCCAAGGTTCAGATACCTATTGCGGCTCGTTCTACCTCATCCCACTCCACCACTCCTCGGCATCACGAATACCATCTCTGTGCATTCCCTACTCACCCCGAGTTCTTTCTCTTAATATATGTAATATCCCCCACTTTTCACCCTCTCACCCCATCTACCTTTCTCCCCTTGGGAGTTCCCCGTCCAGTACCACCAACCGCACTCACCCTCGCCCTCTTAGGGCTCTTCGGGTTTCCTCCCTTCTGACTCTCCACCTGACCCGCCTGACTCTGACTCCCGGTACTTTGATGAGGTAAGCCCTACTTAACCTCATCCACCTTTGTCCTTGGCGGCTCATCAAGCCGTGTATACGCCTCCTGGATAGCTCTTACTTCAATCCCATCCATCTCCAGCGCCGCCAGGTAATCTCTCAGCTGGATATTCTTCCCTTGGTCTGCATTCTCTCTCCACATGCCAAGACGATTCTTCTGATTTTCCGAGGTAAGTTGCTGCGGTTTGTTATCCGCCGCTCCTCCTCCCCCTGCGCCACCCTTGCCAGCTGGCGTGGAAAGACCATCACCACCTAGAGATGTGCGGGGAGTGCTAGCACCTGATCCGCCACCTCCACCACCGCCGCCGGCGCCGGCGTTCATCCATGAGTAGGACTTGCCCTTCTTGCGACCGAAGCCGCCCATGATGGCGTTGAGGGTTTGGTTGGCTGAGGCGGTGGAGGAGGCTTCGGCTAGCTTGGCGGCTGCCGCGCCGCGCTTGAGTTCCTTCTTTGAGAGCAGCTTGCCGTCCATGTCGGCGGCTGTGGGAGTACCCGGAGCCACGGAGCCGGCACGAGAGCCGGTACCGCCAGCTGCTATGTCTGGGTTTTGACGCTTTTGGCGCTTGCGGAGACGGGCTTCTTCGAGGTTGCGGTCGGCGCGGGCAGTTTCGCGCAGGGCGGTGGTGAGGATATTTTTGTTAATGTTGGGGTCGCTGAGTTTGGCAGCGTCGTAGGAGCCTGGGATTACGTTAGTATGGGCTGATTGAAGAAAAAGGGAGAGAATACGTACGCTTCAGGGGATTGGGCTGAGGACCGACGCCAGCGGCGGCTTCCATGCCTTCTTGAATGGCTTCATTAAGCCCCGTCTTCAAAGGCACGGCCACATCAGCCCATTCCGCCGGAACCTCTCCACGAGATGTCGTCTGGCGGTTGATCGCAACGGTATGCGCAGACTCAATGATCTGCCGAATCCTGTGCTTTGTAGCAATCGACAATAAGGCTATTTGATCACTCAGATATGAATCATGCGGGATCCAGGTGTTGTAGACAGCAACAAGAGCACCACCTTCGCCCGTCTTTGTGCTCACCGTGACTTTGGGCTGCGTTGACGAAGGGTCGTTGGCTGGTTTGCTCTTGTTGACCGCACTGCCGCCCTTGAGCTCGCTGTTGAGCTCCAAGCCGTACTCCTTGGCAATCTTTTGCGCCTTCCAGTGTAGTGCGGGCACCTCTAAGAAAGGCGTTTTCATCTCATTTGCCCTTGTCAGAGCCAACCGATGTGCCGCTTCATCCCAAGCTTTCTTTGCCAACTCCTTCTCAAACTCCTCCTGGCTCTTGCCGTCGAGAGGCTGCGACGTCTGGTTGGCCCACCCAGCACCGTAGAAAGAAGCCTTAGTTCCTGGTGGGTTCGCGGGCAGGCCGGTCCTGGCGTCCTGAGAGAAAGATCCCGCATAGTAGTCGGCCAATGCCTGCTCCTCAGCACGCAAATCGACACCGGTACCAGCCAAAGAGTCGGTAACATCATATTCAGTTTCCTTCACCGGTCGCTCAACAGGCTTCTGAGGGGGGCCCATGGCACCGCCGGCGGGAGTTGTCGGAGCTGGTGGTGGTGGGCCAATAGGTGCCATGGTAGCCGTCGTATACTGCTGGTTCTGCGTATTCTGAGCGGCCTGGACCCCCATGGCATGGGCTTGCTGAGGAGTTGTGGGCCCATGGGCGGACAAATTAGGCGGAGCTAATGATGGCGTTGCCAAGCCAGGTGTTACTGGGCCAGGCGTTGTTGAAGCCGGTTGGACTGGAGGCATAGATAGCCTACTCTCAGGCATCTGCAAGCCCGCGCCATGTTGAACAGTAGGACCTGGTCCAGGGGTTGTAGCCGGGGTTGGACCCGGGGAAGGCACAGCCAACGGTGTGGATGGCTGAGAAGCGCTTCCGTTTGTGAAAGACTGGTTGTATTGTTGCAGACCAGGCGACTGTGTCGTCGTGAACTTGGGGCTAGCAGCTGGCGGTGTCGGGGCCGCGTTCGACTGAGGAGTAGTGGCGTAGTTCTGAGGCACGTAAGGTGAACCCGGCTGGGAAGCAGGACCAGTGACGGGCTGTGTACGTTGCTGAGACGGCGGCATCGAGAATTGGGCTTGAGTGGTGGGTGCCGGGGAGGGCGTGTGTTGAGGACGAGCAAACTGCTGTTGTTGGTGAGCTTGCGGGCTCGGATGCCCCTGTTGGATCTGAGGCGGTTGCAACTGAGCTTGGGGATGCTGGAGTTGTGGATGATGTTGCTGTTGCTGTTGTTGCGGCTGTTGGATATGCTGTTGAGGATGCTGGGGGTGTTGAGGTTGTTGCGCGTGTTGCTGGTGTGTTTGAGCTTGAGGATGCCCTTGCTGATGAATCTGCTGCTGCACACGTTGCTGCTGCGGCGGCTGCTGCTGCTGCGGTTGTGGTTGGGTCTGCTGTGGGGCATGTTGTTGCTGTTGTTGTTGCACATTTGTTGTTGTTGTTGTTGTTGTCAAGAGAGGTTGCAGTCCAGTGTTGTTGTTGTTGTTGTTGTTGTTTTTGTTGTTGTTGTTGTTGTTGTCAAGAGAGGTTGCAGTCCAGTGTTGTTGTTGTTGTTGTTGTTGTTTGTTGTTGTTGTTGTTGTTGTTGCAACTGCTGAGGGACCTGACGAGGCTGAACATGTTGCTGAGGCTGGACGCGTTGCTGCTGCTGTTGCTGAGCC